AATGACACCTTCCAGCATGAGTGGGCCACCCATGGGCATGAACCAGCCTCGGCCTCCTGGAATGAGTCCCTTCAGCACCCATGGGCAGAGGATGCCTCAGCAAGCCTACCCAGGCCCACGCCCCCAGTCTTTGCCTATACAGGGCATAAAGAGACCGTACCCAGGAGAGGTAATAAAATAAATTATATTTCGCATACACCGTTATTTTGACTGAAAGTTGCAGCATGCTGGGTAACATGTGGTGTGCATCCCGGTACGATAGCTACATCTTTGTTCAGCCTTGGTAGGAATACTGCCATTAAAATATGAGCAGCAGCAGCTCTTTCTTTATAGCTTCTAAAGTATTCAGGGTGGCCCTTGCTATGTTAGTCAAGATGACAGTCATTAAAACCAAGAAAGGCCCCAAACCAGCTGAGCCCTCAAAATGTCACTTTGAGATTCTCATGCTAGGTGGTGAATTCATAGACCATAAGCAGACTTCCTTCACAGGAGTGGATTTATTTAACGTGACAACTTAAAAGAGATGTTGAAGGTGAAATACTTCATTTGAGCCCAGTACATAAGTGATCTGCATTTTCTTGGATGGTTTTATTGTTCTAAAGAAATACAGGGCATAGGTTGTATAAACACCGATAGTAATAACATTTATTTTAAAGACCAGTTGCTTTCCAAACTTCTTGAGGCTTGATTTTCATAGGCACTGAGATGAATATAAATCATGTTGAACTCAAATCCCTCTGTGTCAGCATTTATCTAATATAAGTTTATTTGGAGTGTGTTTTTTCTGTGTAAGTTCCCATGCTGTTATATGAGATCTGAGTGGCTTTGTAGACAAAATTACATTGCCATTGACTTGTATTATGACCTTGGGCAAAACACTTAGGGTCAAAATTTTAAAGAAATTTAGAGAACCAAAGATGTAGACAGACGAGCTTTTGGATTTTTAAAAAGCACCAATGTATTTTACTATTCAGATTGATGTGAATTGGGCAGTGGATGCTTTTGAGAATCTCGCCAACTCTCTCTCAGCATCTGTATGCACCTAAATCTCTTTACAAATCTAGCCACCAGTTACTAGCTTCAGAGGTATTTTCCTGGTAAAATTTTGTATTAAACTGAGACTACAACAACAGCTATAACTCCAGGTGTAGAGCTTTGAATATTATGATATTGCCCTGACTATAATAATGGTAGTAAGAGCTTATAGAAAACATGCAGCAGAGTACCATGGTATGCAGAAAATATAGCGAACATTTAGTATTGAGCTACATTTCTTTCCTGAGCTGCAAACTATTTTTTTTAAATAAAAAAAAAAATCAGAAATAAAAAAGTCGTGTGCTTTTGCAGGAGTTGCTTCTCTGGGAAGGCTTTTCACGCTGTAAATACTGCCACTTACTCTACAATTAAGAAAACACAGAATGTGGCTTGTTCAGATAATTTTTATTTTCAGATTTCATGTTTTAAGGAAGACTGTAAATCCTTTTTTGTTGCTTCAGAAGCAGGTTTTTCATTGTAAGTGAATATGAACATGTTCCCAAGAAGTCAATACTGAACAGTTCCCTAAATGTTACATGCTTGCTGGTCTGGAATTCTGCAGATCCCATAGGTGCTATTTGCTTGTTGTTTTTTGAAAGCTTCATTTATGGAAACTTCTTATTAATCAGTTAATTTTTCAGATTGACATTTTATTACATTTAAAGTTCCAGTTTTCATGACTTTGATTCCAAAACTGCAGCACAGTACTGGCTAGCACTGGCAAGGTGTTTATGACTAGTAATAGCTTCTATTTACTTGTTAGGGTATTGCTAAACCCTTTAGCACAGGGCCAGCATAGCAGTTGTGTTGAGAAGACAGACATGAACAACACAGCTTCTATTCTCTTGCCCATTCCAGAATTTTTTTTATGTTACTTTTTCCTTTTGTGCTTTCATTCTCCATCTGGCAAAGGAGCCCCGGGGATGGGGCTGGTAGCACTTGCAAAACCACAGAGATTTTGTGAACATTGCATCTGGTTGTAATCCTGGTTTCGTCAAACACGGTGCCCTTTGACAGCACTGCAAGGCTGAGTGTATGTGTGTGTTAAGGTACATGGTTATTCTTATCCCACTTTGGTTTGCAGGACTTTCATGCTTTTGAGCGAATATTCACCTTCAACCATCAGGGCCCTGGTTTAGGCATGAGTGGCACTAAGTTGAGGAATATTCACCTGGAGAGTTTTTTTTGTTTGTTCTGATTCCACTACTGAATGTGTATGCTAATAATCAATTCAAGACAGCTGCTTGCATGAAACAGATCTTTGTCTTCTTTCATCTCTGTCATGAAATAGCCAAATTATGGAAACCAGCAGTATGGACCAAATAGCCAGTTTCCAAACCAGCCTGGTCAGTACCCCACTCCCAACCCTCCAAGACCCCTTACATCTCCCAACTACCCTGGACAGAGGATGCCAAGCCAGCAAAACACAGGGCAGTACCCTCCTCCAACAGTCAACATGGGGCAGTATTACAAGGTAAGAATTTTTAGGTTATCTTCTTGCGTTCTGGTAGACATTTATGAATGAAGTTACATTAATGACTTCATAGATACTGCTTTTACATAATTAAAGGAAAAAGAGAAAAAAGCACAGTGTTTTTACTAATGTTTTGGATATCACAGAATCAAGTCAATCAGCCAAGTTGCATTGTAACTTCAGAGCAGTTCATAAAGAAAATTGAATGTTACTTCAGCTCATTAGAGGCTTTTACAAGAAAATGTTGGTTTTGCTTTAACTATGGCATGTAAAAAGAAGTACCTAATGGGATTCAGGTGTAATATTTTCACCTATTCACGGCACCCTGCAAGAATACAGCTTTGGAAATTTGTATTAAACAAGTTCCACATTGCAGCATCCCAATTTCAGACCTACAGTGGTCACTGTTGGATTAAGCCAGCTGAAACTTAAAAGCTGTTCCAGCTGTAGAATTCATCTTTGAACTGATGATTGCTTGACATTATCCGCCCTCTCCCTCCCCTTTTTTCCTTCTTTCCCCTCTGTGCTGCTTGTTTTGGGCAAGAATTAGAATTGTTGAAATATTACCTAAAACCTGTTTTATGGATACATCTTGAGCACTTAGAATTATCCAAACTGAGTTTGTACTGAGGGCCTGCTGAGGTTTGACGTCTTTGAAGCGCACACGAAAGTGATATTTTGTACACAGGTACTCCAGTGAGTATAAAAACGGGGAGGACCATCGATGTTCTGACCTGCTCTTAAAGCATTAGCTGTTGAAGTCTCTGGGCTACATTCTGATTTTGAACGTAGGCTGAAAGAATCTAAGATGCACATTGGTCTTGAACTGGAATTGTTCTGGTGTGATTCACACAGAAAACACCATTGAAAAAACAGGGGAAAAAAACCCTTTACTGTAGAGCATCTGTTCTACATGTAACCGCGCTGTCCACTGTGGTACCCAAAGGGGAGTGCCTGTTGCATCGTGGCAGCTTTTCCGGAACACTGCCAGGAAGAACATGAGGAGGAGACAGATCTTCAACTACTGTACTTCCAGTGCAGTCACTTATGATAAAATAACAGCAGAAGATCTCTGTGAAGTTTTTAAATGACAGATTTTTTTTTTTTAATACAGTTTTACATGTGTTTATTTTAGATGGGGTTTAAGTTTTTTGTTTACAGGATAGTTCTAACAAGGAATCTGTGGTCTTTCCAATACTATTTTGTATTCAAATATCAACCGTTCTGGAAACAGTTAGAAAATATGAGACCTTGTTAAGAAGAGAGATTATCCTGGTGTCCTGGTTTCAGCTGGGATAGAGTTAATTTTCTTCCTAGTAGCTGGTATAGCGCTGTGTTTTGGATTTAGGATGAGAATAATGTTGATAACACACTGATGTTTTGGTTCTTGCTGAGCAGAGTTTACAC